TATACAATATAAGGTTTGACCTCAGCTCTTCTGAAACTTTTTCCTTTCCTTTTATAAGAAATGTATTGGTTAAAGATACTACTTTCCAATTCAAACAAGCTCAGTTCAAAGTTTCAGAGGAGACATAACCATATTTTACATGGAGAGCTTGTATTAAATTCTAGTCTAAGTGTGGACTGTGCTGAATTAGCACAATGCTTATGGTGGATTTTTTTCACTCTATCTTCTATTTATCTTTTACTGTCAATAGTTTCCCCAGAATGGACTAGTCTAATCCTGAGTAAAATGGCTAAGAATATTTTTTCTTGCTGTATCAGCTGTTTTAGTCACCTGAGACTTATCAGGACCTATATTACTGATAGTAAGACAACTGTTGCTCTTTTACAGAAATTACTGATTACTTTAGGTATTAYGGAGCTGGCTGCTGTCTAGCCACTCTGGATACTGATGAAATAATAATATGGCTTCAAGGAGTTCAGTGCAAACAAACCCCGCTCATGCTCACCTTGCTTTTTGCCACAGCTCTGTGCAAGACTGTGCTGTTACCAGAACTGGCACTGCCCAGGTGAAACACAGAGCACTTGTTTGCTTTGCTGACATCACCACAAGACTTTTTGCATGACTGTAATTCTCAAGTGGCTTGTAAACAAGTGCAGTTGAAACATGAACATGCACTTTAAGCTTATTCTGGCAGAATACAAAGGAACTTGAGTACTTTTATACCAGATGATATAGCAGCAGTGTAATTTTAACTTCACTAATGCTGATGTAGAAATAAAACCTATACCTCTTTGAAATTGTTTCCTTAATACAAGTACTGCATTTAAATGCAGTGCCAGTTGTTTAAAAAAAAAAAAAAAAAGTTTGAAACGGAACTGTACTATACTGTGTGTGTGAGGACAAAACAATTGAACAACAMATTAAAACTATTACCATGCTGCTAATGTAGACAGAGGTAAGGCAAATGCAAATTAACAAAAAAAAAAAATCTATCAAAAATATACAGAAAATTTAGAAGTTTCTCATCAGCTATTCTATATATTCTCACCCTTAGCAGGTTTCCTGTTTATTCTTGAAATTAGTTCTGATACATTAAACAGTTTCCTGTTTAATGTATCACACTTATTTATGGTTATATAGTAGCACCAGATGGAAATGCTAAGATCAAATGACAGAAGTACAGGAGACATTTTAAAYTGACAGTGTTAATTAATTACATGCTGAAAAAAAAATCTAGCTTTCCAAGAAAAAGCAATTTCCAACTTCCAAAACCTTGCTATTATTGTCATAAAACAAACAAAAAATTTTAACGAAAGTAAAATAAAAAATCTTAAAGTTCTAGTGTACTRCTTTTGAATATCCACAATTTTAAGACAGACAATCTATTGAATAGAAAAAAGATTTGTTTTACATAAAGCAAGAGAGTACAAAAGCACAGCTTTTGCAATTTTGGTAATATTGCAGTTCTACAAACATATTGCATAGTATGTGTAAGAAAATAGTTCCCATCTTTTTATATATACTTCTATACACAAGAAAACCATTAACATGAAGGTTACAAAACAAAAATGGTTAGCAGACCTTCACTGAATAGTGATTGAAATAATATGACACTCAGACTTTGATCCAATTTTCATGTGCATTACAGTGAATCAGCTGATAACAATTCCAGTCTAAAGTTTGTGGGTTTTTAATTTATTTTTTTTTATTTAGCAATTATTTAGAATCTAAAAACAAAGCAAAACAAAGAAATAAAACACCCCTCCCCCCAAAAAGATACATTGGCAACAACCAAATATCTTAAACATCCTTCATTAAATCCTTCTAGACGTTCATGGCTATATCTTCCAGACTTAATAATCCTCTGCATCTAAAATGGTTGAAAGTGAATTCTTTTATCCAGTCCAGCCAATTTTGCAAATAAACCAGTTTTACTCCAGTTCAAAGAAACAATGTCTTGGCATGTTTTCTTAGGAACACCAAAAGACGCCCCTATGCATGAACAGTAATGCAATTGCAAGATACTGACAAAAAAATTAAACCCTGGAAAAAAGTGAAAATCTACAGCTCAAAATGCTGCACAAATCTAAGCTATGTTACATTTCATGTTGTAATTACAACTTCTCATCTCTTCATTCCAACAGAATTAGTAGAAACAGCAGTGTCATAGTGTTGGATATAATAGAAGTGTCTGTCTTTGGTCTTAACACTTAACCAATGAATGAACTGCAATACAAACCATACAGTTAACGGTGCTCAGAGAGGTTGGCTGATGTTTTGATTTATCTCTTTTTTTTTTTTTTTTTTTTTTTTAAACAAGAAAGAGACAGTATTCTATAATATCATGATGCAAATATTTCTTGCAGTAGATAAAACTATCATATATATTAAATACAGGTGGCCAATCAGGTAATTTCATATATTTCATTGTARTCATAAGGATGGTGTTTTAATTTTTTACTATGGTAAATGCATTAAAATCACTTTTTCAATACTCCCTGAAATCATGTGAGCTAGAAATACTTTTTAAAATAAAACCTGATTTTTTTTCCCTTGCAGTTTTCAATGGATTTAAAGTAAAACATCAATATTATGAAATTCACCAAAATATTAAGAATATTCACCAGAATATAAAGACTTGCTATTCCATCTCATATGTTGTTGAGGTTCTTAAGTATGCTCTACATCATACCRATGGGACTCCAGTAATGAATATCCTGACAGTGCAGAGCTACATGAACTTACTGGCTTGGTTTTTTGGAGTTCAATGTACTATCCACATATCTCTTCTCAGTTTTCTTCATACAAAGTGGCAAATTATTTCAGTCTTGCTGTTAAAATTATCCAAGTAACAAATATTTTTCTTTCTACCTGTCCATTCCCAACCAACTTGGTGTAAAATTTATTAAAGTTGGATCTTTCCACCCAATGAACAGAGACCCTTTTTTAATTTAATAACAGGTAAGTAATCTCAGAAAGTGAATAACAAACAAATAAGATTTTTTTTGGTGGAAAGTTCATRACAAAGTATCTGCAGGTCATCCTGTGGATTTATTTGAGGAGAAAAATAACCTCCTTTAAGCACTTGTATGCAATTTGCAAGAAGCCACATTTTAATTCACCAAACAGATTATCACTATATTTGTTCATCTTTTAAGTAACAGGTGTATATAGGTGTRCACACTACACATCAATGTATCCTCATACATACCTTTGTAGTTTTCCTCCTGAAATACTATTTATTCATGATTATCACTGTCATTCTATTATTTGTGTGAATAAGAAAAATACATCCATATCCCTACAGTTTTAAGGGTATATTSTATGGCTTTCTATTGTTTTATGGTCATCTTTGTCATCTGCAACTCTTTTTGTCCCTCTTAATAAAAATCCTCATGTTATAATATATTTTCTTACAATATTTTCTACTATATTTTCTTTCAAAGAAGAAAATCTGAAATAGACAACAAGTCAGCTSTTAACAGCCTTCTTTTCAGACATAAAGTGATCAATTAAAAATTTTCATTTAATTGTTAAAACSAGCAAATACAGAATTCTTGCTATGGGGTGAAATTCACACCCATGAGGAGGGCCAACAGTAAGGCACGCACCCGTCAAGCTGTCGACACATCTTGTGCTGATCTTCTGCATAGGAATGAATTTCACCTGAGGTGAAAACATAATCAACCTTATTRGGTGGTAAATAAATGCAAAGGTGATCACTGTACTAGTTTGCTCATTATCACGTTCTTTCGTTAAAAAGCTAAATGTGTAGAGATACCCACCTGGCCTGAACTCTACTTACTTTAGAATTACTTTGAAAAAACTCTAATTTCATTCTTACATTCAGAAGCCTCTAAAAATACAAGCTCGGTGATGGAATTTAAAGGATAGAACTTAAAAGCACACTTACCTCCCATAATCAAGCCATCTTCCACAATAGGAAATATTTTTATATTGTTTTACTTTCCTGGGTTCTGCAAGTTTCAAGATACTCTTGTTAATCAATGCTGTGACAAATTCACCAGCAGCATACCAAAACATTTTTAGAAGATCTCAATTATCGACCAAGCCAAATAAGTACAAACACTGATATAATAAAGAAATCCCACATAAAACTTGTCAAAAAAGAAAGTCAATAGTGAGATCTGAGTGCAAATGTGGCTGCATAATTTAGACACAGACCTGGTAATATCGACGTACTTTTTAATACTGAATGTCATGTAACATGAGGCCTTTATATATACTACGAGGACTTTGAAACTTTAGCAGCAGATGGTAAACAAAAGAGAATAATAAATGTGAATGTCATACAAGTTGTTAGCGCACTGCTTCTCAGCATCACATGTTACATTAGTACCRACGTTTGTACTGTGTTCAAATGGCAGCAGTCAGACACAGAAAATGGACGAGATGTGCCTTTGAAGATTTCTCTCTTGATTTTGTATTTGCCAATTATGTTCTTATAATATAGAATATTATTCAATATTTGTGAAGATATATATGTTGTAAATATATTATTCACAAACCTTGTGAAGAGCAACACACCAATCAACAAACATATAATCAGAATTTCCTTCTTTACCCTGCTCTTCTTTTCCAGAAACTGTATGTTCTACTTAATCACTTCACATGCAGTGGCCACAAAAATATTATAAAAGATCATTCAGATCTGACAAATAAGAGCATATGTCTTTTTAACTTTGAAAGTAATATTGCTGAGCACTTCCAAAATTTACCTAGTGTAAAAAACCCTAGACTTAGTAGACAAATAGTAACAACACATTTTTAAAGAAACCAAACTCAGGGAGGAATTCTGTCTCTTTTTGTATTAAAAACCATTTACTGAATTTGTTTAATAAAGCAAGCATCACACAATGCTTTAAAATTTTAAAATTCRGGGATAAAAGTTTACATCCAAAAAGATGAATGGAAAATTGTGCTTTCAGACAGAAAAGTTATTTATCATACAGGGGGAACCAATTCATCTCACCATCAGATTCTGGGCATATTCATGTACTCTCTCTCTCTGTCTCTCGATATATATGTGCAGTTCATATCCAGGTCCTGCAAAAATCTAAAACTATGTGCTTCACTTCAAGTAGCAAAGGCACCTGTGTTATTGTCCCTTTTGGAGAAAAAGGTGATTTCATGTTCTAGGTTTCCTGATGAAAAAGACATTGATTTCTGGATGTCTCACTCCCATCTCTGTGTTGAGTGGCAGCACAAACCACAAGAGAAGGCAGCGCTGTGTTCCTGCTTACAGTGGAAGAAGTTGCTCTGCAGGCCGTTTGAAGCGTTGAACTTGTCACAGGGGAAACCGAACAGAACTGTGAAGCAGAGGGATAGTAACAAAAGGCTATTCTGGTGTGAGGATAAAATGGAGTCATTCTAGCTCCACAAGCAGATGTTGCTACTGGATTGACATGTGGAGCTTGCTCCTGCTGGGGACAGGTAAAGTTTACCATTGGGACAGGCGCAGAGCTCATAGATAGTCTGGCGAGGAGCTGAAGAGCTGGGTGAGGAGGAGGAGGAGGAGAAGGAGGACGAGGAGGAGGATGAAAAGGAACCCACTGGTAGATTTCCCAGGCGGATTGTATCTGCGTTTAAAAATATCTAAAAGAGGGAGAAAGAAACAAAGTAAATAAATTTCTTTCATCATTAAGGCAAATTGTAAAGAAGTGCTTTGAGGCAGATATATTTTTTTAAAACATATTTAAAACTCTAGAAGTATTATAAGGTCATATTAGAAATTAATCTTTTCAGAAATAAAAAAGCTGTCAACGTTTATTGATTTTCATCTCRGTGTAGTTTCTGCACTAATAGTCATTATTACAGTCCATGCAATTACTTCACCAACATGTTTATTCAGGTACAAACATTATTATAGAAAACATTTTGACAATACTCTTGAATAGGTTAAATTTTCACTTGTACATGTTATGATTAAAATTTATTCATTCATAGAGGCAGCATATACTTGCTCTGGGAAAATTTGTATTTTAATAAGTGTGAAGTGATATTAAAGCACATTCCCCAGTGAGTTCCTGTAAGCAGCTGAAAATATGTGCTGAACTGTGCTAAACTGTAGGGGCTTAACAAGAGCTGAATCCAGAGAATAATGAAATAAGGTTACAAAGTCATATGCACAAAATAAAGAGCTTCTTTTACCTAAATTAAGAAGAGGAAAGATTTCAGGTTAAGGTCTTATTAAGAAGGTCATCAAGATATTCCCATTTGTTTTTGAAGTTTGAATATGAAAATATATTGTGGGATTTTTTAATCTTCCATCAGAAATAACATGAGTCAATATGAAACCGTAGATGCTAGTAACATTCATGAATCTCTGTTGAGTTCTGCAATATTTACACTAACCTTTGCAGAAAACTGCATGTCTTCAACTGGTACAAACAGATGAGTGTCTAGCTGCTCAGAATTTATTTTTTATTTATGGAAAGAACCAATTAGGAGACTAAGTAAGATCAGTCATTATCTCAGGAGCGGACCAAAAACTGCTAGAAGACAGGTAACAAATCAAAATAGCTTTAAGCTCTGGAAGTAATGATGTGAAGCTTAGGAAAAAACAACTTCCCTAAATACTTGCCAATGTTTTTTATAGGGTATCTAAAATTACAAARCCAGCTTGACATCATTATACCACAATGTTCACAGTACGTGTACGTATCTTGAAAAGATACGGAAAGTATTGCTTTTATTTTTTTTTTCYTATCGGAGACAAGTATTATTTTATGATAAGTGGCATATGGCAGCAAAGCAGTGCAGAAGCACTTCTGAACTCCTGGTGTAGAGAAGTGAAGAATAACAGACTAGGAAGAAATAAAGTGGCTGGATAAAATTCTATACAAGGATTGATGCATAGTCATGCTTCCATCCACAGCAGAAGCATTGTAAACGACTGGAATAATTGAGGGTAATACAATCTGAGAGTAGCCCCAAACACTACAACTCCAGCTCCCACAGTAATTATACAGTCATGGGAAGAAATACTCACTAAAAATGACACTAAGGGTAAATCTCAGAGGCAAAGGTGACATCTGCATATCACAATGCCTGTTTTAATTCACATTGAATTCCTGATGGAGGAAGTGAACACAAAACTAAAAACTAAAATGCAGTCACTTATTATCTTTGTTCTGGAACTTATAAAAGAAAGGAACGAGGTATTTAGACACACATATACACAATGTTGCTTGGAAAGTCCAGCATTACAGATCTGAGATAATTAGGAGTCATAACCCCTGCAGAAATAGTTTTGACGCAAGAAATGCGGATGGCGTTGGAAAGAATTTAATAATGTTCTGCTAGAATTACAACTGAAAGAAAAAAAAGAATACATATGAAAAAACACTCAGCTCAGCGAGGAGTAAATGTGAAAATAACTATAGAAAACATAATAAGAAAACAAAATAACAGATGGGGAAAAAAGGTTTTAACAACAAACTAGAAACTAAGAACTGGTAAAATGTGGGAAGGAAACAAAGGACATAATAATGGAGGGACAAGTARTTAAAAGTACTCTTTCACTTCTCATTTCAAGAAAAATAAATGGTCACAGGYCCATCATTAATGTAGTAACATTAGTTATCAATGGCATTGCATAAAAAATCAGTAGCACTTAACAAAGGAAGGTCTATGTAAGTATAARTGCATCTTTTATACTAAATAGTGCTCAGCATAGATCTGTACTTGGAGAAAAATTAAAAACTGACGTCAGAACACGACTGATAAAATACTTTCAATTTCAACAGTAACTCAACAGGATATTAAGCAGAAGCCAATAATGTCATATACTTTTAATCAGCATTTTAATTTAACAAATAGAGCTAAAGTAAAAAAAAATACCTGAGTGGCCTTTTGGATTTTAATGCTGATTTTCAGTAAGCCCTGTGTCATGGTTTAACGCCACATACCAAACAGCCACTCAGTCCTCCACCAGAAAGAACAGGGAAAGGATCAAGAGGGTAGAAACTGGAAAACTCATGGGTTGAAATATAGTTTAATAGAAAAAAACAAAAGCTGTACACACAAGCAAAGCAAACTAAGGAATTGCCTTCCCATGGGCAGGTGTTTGACCATCTCCAGGAAAGCAAGCTCCATCCCATGTAATGGTGACTTGGGAACACAAACTCCATCACTCCAAAGGCTGTACCCTTTGTTCCTTCTTCCTCCGCACAGCTTTATATACTGAGCCTGATGTCATACAGTATGGAATGTCCCTTTGTTTATTCGAGGTCACCTGTCCTGACTGTGTCATCTCCCAGCTTCACATGAACCCCAGTCTTCTCCCCAGCCATGGCAATACAAAAATCAGAAAAGGCCTTGGCTCTGTGCAAGCCCTGCTCAGCAATAGCAAAACCATCTCCACATTGTCAACCCTGTGCTCAGCACAAATCCAAAATACAGCCCCACATCAGCCACTGTGAAGAAAATAAAACTCAGCCAAAACCAGAATACCTTGATATACTTGGAATACCAAAGAAGATAAGAAAAAGTTATTTCTATGCTTTTATTTAAAAAAAAGAAAAAAAAAAAAAGGAGACTGGAGACATTAGAATATTATATATGCAGTAATAAAAACACTTCCATATGGAAGACATACATGTAAGGCAATCCAACAAAATACAAGAWGAGCTCTTTATATTTTTGGCAGATTGGCCATTTTAACATCTTAGCTGCAGTGATAATGGGGAAGGAACATGAGAAATCTGTAAAAAAAATCAGAGGTGTACTAAAAGATATTTTGATTCAAACAAGAACTGACTCAAAAAATCAGAGGGCCTATGTGTCAGAGATCAGGCTAGAGTTAAATCTGTTGAACTTTGTTACATTATTTGCRATGAGCTCAATAATTTTTTTGTTTGTTTACATCAAGAGAGCTACACTTCTGCAACACATCATTGCAGATGTTCCTAGAGTAGTGCTTCAAGCCTTTTAATCCAGAGCACCTCACTCTGATGTGCATTGCAATACAATGTAGCTYAGTTATTTTGCTCATTAAATGAAATTATAAGCATAGCTATGCAGGCTTTTCCATTGGTGCTTATGAACCTCACACTGTGATATACAACAATCTAGGTTTATCTGGTATCAAAATCCTGCATAGTAGCTATCGAGTCCTGTCCCAGCATGCATCCCAGAACATCTGGTGAGCAATGTAGATCCGAGGGTATGGTGTCTGAGAAAAATTGAACTGGCTTCTTGAGAGGGTGATGTGTGCTGCGGTGAGTTCAATTTAATCAGATTCCTATAGCTACACCCTGGTGAAGCCTGAGATGAAGAGGATTAATAAAGATGGTTTAAAGCCAGTGTTAAAATCTACCCTGTACACATGCTGTCAAGGATATAAATGAAAGACTAAATTTAGAGATGCASCATTGCTATCCATTAGTTAAACTGGAACCCAAATATACCATCAGAGTAGCTCGACACAATAAGAATTTCAGACAACATAGTGCATATTTGAGGATATACCTTTCCTGTCCTTTGATCTGCTGAAAACTGAAATTCATGGCTGAAAAGTCCTCCAACATAGCAAAACTTAAACTACTTACTGTTTTATGCCTGATGTTATCAGGTGTTTAAAGGGAAAGGAAAAAGTGGCAAGACAAAACATTAAATGGTATTATGTTCCTAAGATGGCAGCAGTTAATRGGAGTGCCCATGTACCTGGTCTTTCTCTAATCTGCTGTGCCTGGAGAGATGTGAGATAAGTCACTTAATGCTTCACAAGCATCAAGGCCATGCAGGCCAGTTACAGTCTTTCTGAGAGTCTCACACCTCAGCAGATGAATAGGCACGAATAAAAACAAAGCCTTCATCTATTCTTGAAACATTTTAAGAGACTGACTGACAGATTGCAAAACGGAAAAGGCAGCAGCTGCTCAGAGAAGTGCTATTTCATGGACAGCAGAGTGCTGGGCAGCATAATTCTCTCTAAATACTTCAGGTTTAGAAAGCCCAGATCACTACTTTGTCTCGTGCATTTTAGTACAGAGAAAAATGCATTAGTTCCATAATGTTTAAAAGTAGACCTGACTTCTCACTAATTAAAGTATCAAACTGAAAGCATCAGCTTGTAGCGCATGTGACAGCAATGGAAAAATTGTACTCTTTTTACACACAATTTTTACTAACAAAGATCTGCCATTCAGCTGCTAATCAGACTGTATTGTTAATCTGAACATCAAAAGAGACAGGGAGAGGAAGGCTAGCCAGAAAATATAGATTATCTACAAACMAAAGAACTAAATTGAAGGAGCATATTTTCAGTGGAAAGAGCAAATTTCAGTGGCAATGAGGATTTGTACAAGCCCTTTAATACAGAGATATGAACCTGTCATGTATGAAATTCTCCAATGGGTGTTTGACTAAGTCTTCTCAAGAGAGGAGATGACAGTTTAAATTGATACAACCTAATGAAAAAGTTAGGATTTATAGACATTGAAGAATTTTCTGTATTCATGTACTCTTCAATTAAACAGACAATTCTACAGGGCTGCAAAAGCTAATGTAGATAAGAAATAGCAGRAACCTGGAGCAAATGTGAAAGAAAAAAAGGGAATCTGATAGATGGGTGTTAATCAACCAGTATGAGA